GCCACCCATCTCCCAGCGGTGGTGCTAAAAGGGAAAACCGGAGCCCACAAAGGCCATGAGGTCTTCCCCTCTCCCATAAGCACACGGCCCAATTAGTAAAATCCCAAGACTTTTTCTTCTGGGAACCATTCTTTTTATCCTTTTTGACAACATTGGGAACTGGCCACAAATTGCAATGAACTTAAGACCCTTACCAAAACATACCACTAATGATTAAATCTTGTTCCTCTCGCACTTTGTCCCCAGGATGAGTGAGGAAGGCAAAAGCCCCTGAAGCCCTTTCCAATTTGGCCTCTTTAGGAAGAAAAAAAATCCTGTCCCAAAACAGGTGATCAGTCAGACCTGCTGCATAGAGCTTGGAGACTACTAGGACTGGGAGAGGAGAGTGAGGCTGCTGAATTGGTCAGAAAGAGGCTCCCCGTAGCCCAAGTTGAAGTTTTAAGTCAATGAAGGGGAGAGAGAAAAACCAATCAGCACCGTTCCTCCCTGCACCAACCGACAAGTTGCTAGAGACTATGTAAGGGAGCAGGGCTGGCTTTAGGAAGTGCGGGACCAATTCGAACCAAATTTTGGTTGAGCAAAAAAAAAAAAAAAACACAACCCAGCACACAAACAAACAATTCACAGCCCCTATAAATCTCCAGATACAGAAGCCGCTGCGCTCTTCCTCCGGGGCCGACGCCCCCTCCCACAGCACACCTGGCACACTATCGGGTTTAGGGCACGGGGCCCGATTCGAGGGAATTGGGCAAATCAGCCTAAAGCCGGCCCTGTAAGGGAGAATCCCATCAGCATGTGTCCTGGTCAGCACCTCTCAAGGCAGTTGGATGGCATTTTATCTATCTGCATAAGCATCCATCTGCCAAAAAAAGATTAGTATGCTTAGAGCTTGAAAGGCTGACTTTGTGTTTTCTATCTGCAAACACCAAGTAAGTGGGTGGGAGTGGGTGTAGATGCACACAGCCAGGTGAGAAATTTCTTGGGCTTTTGCCTTTGTATGCATCAATGATGGAAAGAATATGAGAACAGCATGACCCAAGATGGAATAAATAAAACACGTTGACACCATTACCATAATATCTGGAAAGGTATGTAACGAATACACAACGATATGCATGAAAAATGCATGCATTTAGCAAATTGAAAGATGCCGTTAAATAAAAATATTGACATCTATGTCTGAACCATGTGGAGAAGAGAAGTGATTAGAAGTGAATTTAGGAGTATATATTAGTATAATGAGGAGATTATTCCTTTCCTTATGTCATCGTGTGTATACTGATGATGATGAAGTACCATACATAACACTATGTATATAGCCAGTTATTGCTAGTGTAGGTAGAATACTTAACAATGTAGCAGATATGGTCTTATGTATTGAAGTACGGTACCTAACTTCTGTTTTATTAATTTATATGGAATATATAGGTCAAAGGTGTTCATGTGACCCAGTACTGACCAACATTAAAGAGTGTTAAACAAGGTTTAAGGTTCAGTATACAGGGATCTATGCATGCTTGGTACCCTGGTACAAAAACATCATCACAATCATCTCTAATCTTTTATTATTAAAGATTCAGTAATGAAGTATTAAGAGAGGCTTTCATTTTAACAACATCCCGTGTTCCTTTCCCTTTAGTAGGACAGAGTTTTAGAAGGAAACACAGCCCTGGTTTGACAGTCACTTAGATGATATCAGCGAGGGTTATAATCGTCTTTTTGGATAAAAGAGAAGAAATTAGTTGCGTTGTAATGCAGCTGCTGCTGCTGTTGAATTCCGATCCTGTTTCATCTCAGGTGGTGTTTGAGATTCAGCTGGAGATGGGAGGGGAGTGATGTCATCTGGACCGTACCCTCTCTCTGGCCTGGCGTGGTGAGGGCATCTCTTAGGATCAGGATGTTGAAGGCTGGGGATACCAGTGGGAAACAGCAGGGATGGCGGTCCTGATGTTGATGCTCACTTCAGTAGCCTCATCTCTTCTTCTGTCCTCTTCTCCCATCATCACCACCATCACCGCTACCAAGTCTGTCTTTTAAGCAAGGGAATGATGAATGGAATAGCGTATCTCTTCCTAATATCTGACACATCCCTTCTGATTCATTTATTTCTGGTTCCACGTCTCTCATTTTTGACCAAGCATGAGTTTGACTCAGTCCTTGAATGATATTGGCATGGCTTTTGTTTGTTTCCCTGTCTGGTTCTCTTGCACCTGTTTGTAACATTCCCAAAGCAGCTTGACCTACTTTGTTGTTATAGGTTATTGTAACCTCTTACAAACTTATATATACCTTTTATAATTGAGTTGGTGGTTAGGTTACGTTTGTCAGCCCAATTATCACAACACTTCTCAGGAAGAAATTCAGATATTGGCATTTAGACATTATTAATTGTCACAAATGAGCATAGTGATTCAGGAAACACTAGATGAGTCAGGAGGCTACCCGGAGGAGCTAGCAAATCTAAACTGCATGACTCCAGTGCAAACACTAAGGGGATGAGGAAAGAGATAGGGCCTGATAGTATTCTCATGGATCGATAATGGAAGGCTAAGTGAAAGAAGGGGCTTTTAATAGGAAATGTGAGGGGATATAGAGAGGATGCTTAGCACATGAACATATGGAAACTGTTCCATATATACTAGACAGCATGAAGAAATCTCTGGAGATGGGAACAGAAGAAGTGACAAGAAACATTGAGATGATACATTGCCTTCTTAATCATATTAAAACAGTGCTTAGCTCAGCATTCCTTTTTATACTGTGAATACTGCATGTGCTTGTAATAACCAATGTTTTGCAATCTGAGATCCACTGACGGATACTAATGAAACAATTTCTGGTACTAAGAGAAAGGTTAGTTTTATTTTTTAAAAATAGATGTCTCAAGGATGGAAATAATGCTAACAGTGTCAAGCTTTCACTCTCGGTCTACGGCATTGCAATCACAGGAAGCTAATTATAGCGCTTTGCCTGCAATGACATCTTAAACCCAGTTGCTGCAAAACATGAACGTGCATGACTGCAGGAAATGTATTTGGTGCCAGCACAAACTTGACTCTCGAGCGGGGCAAAATGTTCATTTGGGGCACTTGCGGTGTGATTGTAGTCTAAGAGGTATGCCTGTGCTAGCTTTAGCCTAGCTAGAGTAAGTAACAGTAGCAGTGTCGAGGTGGTTGCATGGAGTTCAACGAGGACTAGTAACCCAAAAATGTAGCTGGGGTCCCCATTGACGTGTACTGCAGTGCTAGAAACACAATGAAGGCTGTTACCTGCAGTAGCTAAATTAAAGGGGGGTACACTGGTTTTGTCTTGCCTCTTCCAGTTCTTGGGGGAATGATCCCACTGGACACGACTACAACTCTGGAACCCTTGCTCTGCACCCTCTCTTCATCCCATCTGTGCCACCTACACAAGACCAAGACCCAAACGACCGATGTATGACAGCTAGGCTTGGAAGAGAAAATCTTCTCTGGGTGGCCTATTGTGATGGCTACAAATTGCAGTGAATTGGGTAGAAAGGCACACCTGCTTAATGATTATTTTTAGTAACTTACTAAGATAGTCAAAAGTTTTACCAAGTTATACCATAAGGAATAATAATCTTGATGCATTAATATAGTCAAGTTGGATGGGTCTTATTTTAAAGGTATTTTTCCTGGGGCATGTTACTATGTTTAGCTTTAAAATGCACATTACACTTTTTGTTTCTCGCTGTCTTTGAATGGCATAATTTTAAAAGGGGGCACAAAGAGCATCCACAAATGTCTTGCATGTAATGTAGGATAATTTAATTGAGAATTGGGTGCAGGAATTTCAATTCCTCAAAGTTGAGGAATAGCCATTTTCTGTGGGTGTTATCAATTAATCTGTTGTAATGAATTCTCTTCATTACCTATGTCTCCTTGTTAATTATAAAGGATTTTCTTACTCCTATTTATCAAGTCAAGACGAGTATATTACCTTTTTATCTGTGCTACTTTTAATATAGAGTACGTGCAAACTGTTCTCTAAGTATCTACATACTAAATTTCATTATTAAGAAAATTAGAAGTATCTGCTACAGAATATAAGAATTGCCTTATTTTTTTCACACAAATGCAAATATGCCTTTCTCATTCCTACAGTGTATTAGTAGCTTTTTGCTTTTTATGCTAAGCAGGACAGATAAGGAGTTTTCTTAACAATATATCCCATTCTCCTGTTTCTTAACTAATATCTAACACATAGAGGATATTTATCTTTGGTTTGTTTTCTAGTCAAGCTTAACTTGCATCTTCTTTTTATTTTTATTTATCTTAGGTTTAAAATAAAAACTTAAAATGGTCTTCTATTGACACCATGTCACTGCTTTTTGGCAAGGACATGAAATTCACCCCTGTGCAAAGGGCCAGCACAAGCCTTGTTGCATCACTTGAATGAGCCATTATAGGAATGGATTTCTCTCATTAGAATTGTTGGGCCACAAATGTCTATAACTGTGTCCCCTTATTCCGGGAATTAATTTGACTGCACTAGAAATTGTATGAGCCACTATAGGAATGGATTTCTCTCATTAGAATTGTTGGGCCACAAATGTGTATAACTGTGTCCCCTTATTCCAGGAATTAATTTGACTGCACTAGAAACTGAATCTGTCTGTACCAATAAAGGTTACAGCATAGGCAAAGATAAGAACAGTGCCTACTGCCTAACTGCTATGCCTAAACTTGTTCCAGTGCCCACCTCCAGTAGACCAGTCTCCAAACTAATGGTTTTTGCAGTGTGAATGCCTTACCCGCCAACAATTTAAACTGAGACCACCAATCAGCTCATTATAGGCAGGACACACCTTTTTTGGCCCAGCAGCAAGTTCTCCTCTTGGGTTACACAGGTCCCATTTATTGATTTCAGTAGTTGCTGGCAATGTGTAAAAGCAGAGAATTTGTCCCTTGGCTGTCCTTTATCCCTTGTTTGGAAAGCAATGCCTAAAAAGGTGACTATCTTTTTTTTGTTTGTTTCAGGTTGAAGCAATACTGGTCAACATTTTTGGTGGGATTGTGAACTGCGCCATTGTAGCAAATGGCATTACCAAAGCTTGCCGAGAGCTCGAACTGAAGGTACCTCTAGTAGTCAGACTTGAAGGTGAGTGATAAAGGCTTGGGGCTACTGACAGCCAAGGTTTGCGTGGCTCAAGGCAGGATGCTGAGAGGGGGGGCCCCAGGCCCAGCTAGTGGATGGTGAATACTCAGCAGCACGGGGCCCTGAAAGCTTGGGGCCCATGGCATTTGCTTTGCTTGGCTTGCCCTAGGGCCGGGCTTGCTGACAGCTCTCAGCTGCACTCAGTTACATCACGTTCCACTTCAGTTTACTCTGTTCTTTGAGCTCCAGCAAAAGATGTGCAAACTACTTCAGGTGCAGTAAGAATCGATCCAACTCTTCACTTGTGGAACTTTCCCTGGCACCGGATTTAGGGTCATATCTTCCAGTCTTTATTCGGTCCTTTCTCAAGCCAAACTTGAGTAGGAGATTCTCCTGAATAGAGACTGCAGCATTTGCCTCTTCACTCAAGCACAGGCACACATGCAAAAACACCTTTGATGTCGAAGAGAGGAAGTTTCTGGCTGGTGGTTCTCTGCGAGGAACCCTGAACTTTGGAATTCATTCCTGCCATTGGTCCAAAATCACCCAAATCCATTGATCTTCAGAGAACATAGCAAAGCCCATCTATTTTTCCAGATATTGGAATGGGGATCTGTACTTAAATTATTTCCTTTTTTTCCTTTCCTGGCTTTGTTTATTTCCATTTCTGTTAATCTGATCATACTTCTCATATCTGGAAAAGTATCTACAGCCCTAACTAGAGGTTTTGTGATCTTTTCTATAAATGTAAAATACAAGAAGTAAACTCTTCCCACATATTTCTGTAGTTCCTGGTCCCAGATGTAAGTGGAAGGGCTGAAACACAAAGAGAAGAGCTGTACTCATAGTATTTCCAACCCAGTCAGAAAATCTAAGAGGGGTAGCCATGTTAGTCTGTAACTTTAAAAAAACCTGTACCACTTCAGAGACTAACTAGATAGATAGATAGATAGATAGATAGATAGATAGATAGATAGTAAGTATCATGAGCGTTCGTGGGCAAAAGCCACTTCCTCAGATGAGTAGAATGGAGAAAATGCTTTCATGGAACTACATAGTAGCTAGATGGCTTTTTCCCCATTCCAAATCATTTTTATTCAGCACACTTGTAGCATACACAAACCAATTATAATGCCATCAACAAAAGAAAAATGAAGAAAAATATAAAAGAGATCAGCATTATTCTATTTGGATGGCCTGTTCTTGTCCAGCTCTCCAGCACAGTTTTTAAAACACAGCCGGTTGGGGGATGACAGCTTGAATAAGTTCCAGATGAGCTTCTATATTTTGAGTTCTCAATCTCTGCCTTAGCCCATCCAGAAATTACAAGCTTGAAGCAGGTATCGCTGGGGGGTGTTCTGTGGCCTGTGCTATGCAAGAGCTCAGACTAAATGATCATAATGTTCCCTTCCAGCCTGAAAGTCAGTGAAGCTTTAAAAAGTCTAGAGGCTCCACAGATGCTGGTTTTAATATTTTGTTATTTTGCTCTCTGAAAAAAGTCCCATAATTCTTTCTGTCAGTTTCTGAAATGTCTTCTGCGAGAGCTGAGGAAGGAAGATCGGTTTTATTAGCAATAAGAGGGAAAATGTTTTGGTTTCCTGCAATCTTCTGAAGTCAGCGCCACTGTCATGACAAGGATGTGGGCAGTCTGACCAAGTGGTTGAAGCAGAACTCAAGAGTCAGGCCAGAGGGCAAACAGAAGTGAGATGTCTGGCGTAAGGCAGAGTCAGGGTACCAGGAGATCAGCAGTAGAAGCAGGAAGCAGGAGAAGCAGTCCCAAGCAGAGAGAATCCAGTTGAATAAACAATTTCCTATTTCAGTGTTGGCTTTACATAGAAGCTATGAACCAATCAGGATGACCAGCATTTTGCCAGTTGGCTTCCAGGACTGGCATCCTGTGTCCAAGTTCAGCTCCTCATTTGACAACAGTTAACAGGTCACTAAGTGGCAGGCTGGAAGTTAGTAGCTACGAAGAGCCCTGTGGACCAGGGGTCAAAACCTGCAGTCCCTGACATCCGCATTCATACGTTTGAAATCTTTTGTTTTTGATGAGCGCATTTGGACTCCTAACTGGTGTTTTTAAAAGGCATTTTCCATAGTCAAATCAATATTCATGCTATAGTGGGTTATTTTGTCGGCAAGTTACATTAATTTACTTTAACATGAAAACATGAAAGGCAAGATTAGTCCTTTGAGCATCCTACTACATATTTCTCCACATAGGTCTCTCTTTGATCGATCAAAGAATGTGAATAGTTTGCCAGTCAGAATATTAATGATCTTGGTAATTCACAAATTTAGTGTGCAAACTGATTCATATTGTATACCAAACTTTGAGAGTTACAAGGGCATAGTCAGAGCTAATCATTTAACTGTGCTACAGATACACTTGATTATAACATTGTAGCAGTGGTTAAAGACGTTTGCAATGAAGCCTGTTTCACTCTGTTTGTGGTGTTTGCGGTTTTTCTGTTTTAATTCCTCACACAAATTGTGAGGCCACCTCTCTCCCTGTTTGCCGCTGTAGCTGGAATCAACTGGGATGTTTTTTATTGACTGCCCAGCTTGGAAGGGCTGGTGGCAGAATGTTCATTGGGAAGAGCTCTTGGTCCTGGGATGGATGTGTCAGAGTCTGAGTCTCTGGCCTTGGGAGTTTGATGGAAGGCCCGTCTCTTTCCTCTGGCCTGGGCCTGGAGAGGAGCGGTGATAGGAGGTCACTGTTTCAAAGTCAGCATTTGCCCACAAATACATTTGTAGTGCAGGTACTTTCCCCTATATACACCAGCCACCTCAGGACTTAGCGCAGTCGAGGGTAGAAAATGGAGTGTGGTTGATAAGTGTCCTTCCGCGCTGACCCAATGGTCTTGCTCCTTGCAAAACAACAGGAATTAGAGCTTGTGTGTCTGTTTTAAAAACGTAAGCTGTCTTTGAATGTCCGTTCCAAAAAATTGAAATTCCAGCAGTTTTGAAAATACTTCATCCATCTGTAGTAGGAACTGCCCCTGCCTCAGAACTGCAGAGCAGCTGGTGCTGTCACATGATGTCTTTGCAGGGAATAATTCCTGCCACCTTAGAGCCTCTCTGGCTTTTCCAGCTCAGTGAAGGGGGTGGGGAGGAGAAGCAATTGTGGTCTTACAGCTACATCAAGAGCCAGACAATGCATTTTTAACAAACCAATCTCATTGTTTTTCCTTTGTACCAAATAAGAATGTGGAAAGTCACTGGCAGATGCACCATACTTCCTATTAAAGGGGTGGGTAGATGCTGTCCCAAATGCAAGTGCTGTGTGCAGAGAGCCTCGGGGCACGGTTTGGCCCTGGGAGCCTCTCTATTTGAAGTTTATTCTCTTTAACTTGGCAAAGGAACTAAGTTTGCATGTCTCTTGGTGTCATTCTGCTGTGTATAGGTCATTTCCACATGACGCCAAAACATGTAGCATGCATTGCTATTCTGTGCACATCCTTGTGCCACACTTGCCATCACGATATCTAAGTAAAGCATTCAGCAGCATGACCACAGTGAAGATCCGCTGCTCTGCCAAACAAGGAGAACTTTAAACATCTCTGAATTGAGACATAGAAATAGGTTGCCAGGGATTTCATTGGATGATGAAACATTCCCTAGGTCCTAAAGAAAGGCAAACGAACAAAGTAATTTAGTGGGGGAGATTCAGAAAGAAAAGGAGGTAGCCAAGAGACAAGATTCATTTTATATGTAAAGCCTCAATATTTGGTTATTTTTCATGCAACTTTTGTTGTTTGATTAGTTTTTTGCTAAGAGCAGCTGTACTTTGCTTGATTTAATAGCCATTAGTGCATTGGTGTAGGAACTGAAAAGCTATTATGTTTGGAAGCAGGTAATTCACAATTGGAGTTGTAGACTGGTTATTACCATATTTTAAACCACCTAGAGGACGCAATGTTTATGGCCCATCTTAAATTATTGTCTGCCTATTAAGAATCACTTGGGTATTCTTATTGTTTGCATCTACTTGTCAGTTGCACATTCCATGATCCTGTATATCCGGGCCTTGCGCCATGTTGTTTCCACCACCATTGCCCCTTCCAAAGTCTGGAACTCTGCAAAAGCTGCTGCAACCCATGGTGTAAATCAGAGCAACCCTAGGTACTGCTTTAACCTGCTGCAGGCCAGTATCTCCATAGCAATGAATGCTCTGACTCATAGTTACATAGGAGTTTGCAAGCAGGGGTAGTGCAGGGCTGCCTGTGCTGACAGATTTCTCACCCAAACTCCTTGAGTCTCCTGTGTGTCCCTTGTACCACCACCTGGGCATGGTTTATTATGACAACTAGTGCATTGTCCCCGTTGTGTCCTGGACCTTTATCGCTGAAGAGTTGTATGTGTTGCTCAGTCCGTTGGAGTTAGAGATGGAACAAAAAAATCAGTAGATCCACCATCCCCTTCCTGTGGTTCCTGGGATCTGCTTACGGACCTTTATCGCTGAAGAGTTGTATGTTGGAGTTAGAGATGAAACAAAAAAATCAGTAAATCCACTATCCCCTTCCTGTGGTTCCTGGGATCCGCTTAGTGCTTTACTCAAACTGGTGTAAGTGTCTTAGAAGATGGAGCTACCACTGTTCCCTTTGGAAACTGCCCCACTATTATACTGCCACTATCACTGATCAGCCTCGTGTTCTTTTCATTCATCTCATTAGTCATAGTTTTATTCTTGCAGCCCCCTAAGCAAAGACTTACATGGTGTTTACATCTTTCAGGTACTTTAATTATAGACTGTTTTTGCGTGACTACCCCCTCCTTTGCTACCATAATCATTCAGCCAAGCTATTCATAGGCGTTCTTTTAATCTGTCTTCCAAAAGTCAGTCTCTCCAACCCCATAATCATCTATGTTGTTCTTTAAACACCCATCAGTTTGCATGAAACTAAAATGGTTCTGAATTAATAATCAATACAGAGAAAGCAATAAGAAGTCCCCGAAATATTGTAAAACAAAACTAATACTATTTTGCATTTCATCGAACA